TTTCATTCTGATTAGAGAGGACTTGGTACCCGGTACATTTGATCTAATTATCCCCTGCAGTAGGCCGAGGAAAGCCTGAGACTGAGAGAAAGAACTCCAAACGATCCATGAGCTGTGCCAGCACACACTGAGAATAGAACAAGATATTTTGGCATGAGAGGTGAGTACCTTTACAAAAAAGAACCCAATACATTTTTCAATCATGCCATTGAAATGAGGCAAAAGCCTCTAGATAGAGCGAATTACATATATACATCACAAAAGATTATTAGTCATTTTACTTTTTTTGGGGTCCCGTGTCCTGATTTTGGTGCCCATATTTGTTGCTTACTTGAAAATGTATTGACATGGGGCAAATTGTTATGTTTTCTAAAAATACGAAACAAGAAAAAGGGGAATTGTTTAGTCGATAATGATGATGATGATGATGATGAGTGTGATTTTACTTTTACTATAGATCAAATATTCATCAATCCCATACATCAGCTTGTGTTTTCAATATCAGACAAAGAATGCATGACTTCTGAAACAGGGAAATGCTAAAGAAAATATGGATCAGCCAAAGGAACAAACACACAATACCTGAGCATATCAAACAATGTGAACTCACACACACACACACACTCTCACACACACACACACACATCATATGAAATTGGAATGCTAAAGCTGTCATCCTAATACAACAAAGATAGTATTCAGACAAGCTCAAAGGCATACAAACATACACACATTCCATTCCTCATTTCTGATGAACAACTTTAAAAAACAAACAAACAACAAGGGTGACAACAAAAAGTAAACACAAAAAAGACTCATGAAATTGGGGCATAACAACTCATCAAGAAAGCTGTTGGTTTGCCTAAAACAAGAAAGGGGTTAAATACAGCACTGTTGTATTGGCAGTCACCACAGACCTCAAAATGATATATTGTCTACAATTGGTCGTTTTAAGGACAGGCGGGCTAACCAAGATTTCGGGGGTTTCCAGAAATCTTGACCTACACCAAAAGTGGTCACCGCCCTTCCTATAGGAGAAGTGTGTATATTTGTTTGGTTGTATAGAAAACTCTCCTTGTCTTTTCAAGAAACTGAACAAGGGCAAAAACTTTACCTTCCATTTTCTAAAAAACAGCATTATTCGGGATAGCCGCCTTGTGCTTAAAAGCGACCAATTGAACATAATAATATCAACACTGTGCAAGCTCCATCCCACATCGTGTCCTTGGTAAAGGCACTTTTATACAAATTTTCCCATTTGGCTCGGTCCTATGGTAAATGGGGCTTTGAAAATTGGAGTTCCATCTCTTTAATAAGCTAACAGTGTTGCAAGGGGTGTTATATCTGTACAATTACAATTACTCATATTTTTTTTACACTGTATAAGTAGTTGGCAGTTTGCTCTTTGTGATTACACAACTGATTCAACTTATGACAATGTTCACACTTGAACGTTGAAGTCCATCAGAACAAGATGTTCTCTTTGTATTTCCTTAACGCTACTAATGCAATGCCGCTTTCTACAGCCATCTTGACTATCTTCTGCCTCCAATTTCTTCAAGCACTCTCCTTACTCTCTTTAAATGAGTCAAAAATACTCAGAAGCCCTGACCCCTCCCTTATTTCGTGACACTTTGCATTCATGAACTTCAAAGTGGTAAACGTTAGAAAAATACCCTCCACAATCTCCACACTTCGCTAGTTGAATGCCATCCTTTTCTTCTTTCTCTTTTTCCTGAAGGTAGCTCTTCAGCCGTGGAGGCAGAAAAGTTTGACACAAATAGTCTACCTTTGACGCTAAGATGCACTGTACAGATATCACAACCAATGGCTGTACGGAAACACTCCAAGGCATGTTACCTTCTTCAGCGGTGTAATAAGCACGACAGTTTTCCCACAGATTTCTATGATTTGAACGATTTTTCAAACAGACCTTAATAGCCCGGAGACCCTTCTTGCACACCAAATATGGTGGTGAAATGAGTCCTTTGTTATTGTCAATGTTAAGCACTTCTAGCTTTGACAGCTGCAACAGTGCAGATGGTAGTGCTTGCAAACAGTTCGATTCTAGATTCATACTTTTCAGGTTGGACAAACTACCAATATAGTTGGGAAGAACAGATAAGCAATTGAAAGACAAGTTGAGAACCTCCAACTGTTTCAAATACACAATAGACCACGGAATATCACGCAAATTGCAGCCAATAGCCACAAAAGACGTTAAATGTGCAAACCTTCCAATGTTTATAGGAATATCATAGAAAGGCTCTACAAGGTCATTTTCTGTGTTATCGACATGCAACACTTGTAAGCGATCTGAGTCAGACTCCACACGATTATTTACGAAATCCTGGAATACCACAAATGAGTGAAAATCTGCCGTTCTGTCAATGTTCTTCTGTGACCTGAATTCCCGCCACATCTGTATCAAACGCCGAAACAGTTCCAACGCCATTGCAGCAGACTCTCTTTACACAGAGGGATCACCAGTCTACTTTCACATACTCAGTAATCTGATGAAGAAAAAAAAATAACATGAAGACAAAAAAGTTGTTTAGAGTTTGACCTTTTTGCTCACATTTTCAGTAGAGTCCTCATACTATCAATTTAGAGGACTTGAATCTTTTTTTGGCTATTTTTTTGGTATCATTTGCTTTTTTTCTGCTTTATTTTCCTTTTGTTTAAGGATTATGTTGATGGCTGGACCACAGTTAAAAACCAATCATGTTGATCTGAATGCCTGTTTATAATAGAACTTTATTACTATTGATTATAAAAGACAGGACCCAGGGATTTACTATACTATAAGAGGGGCCCATTGAGTGATAAGTAAAAAGACAATTTTCATTTGGATCAGTTATGACAAAAAGAAATCTCTCAACTGAAAGTATACTCGCATAATTCACAAGGACCATTCTTTTCTCCTAGAGGTTATTTTTGAAACACTGTGAAACATTTCGGTGTGGAATTTACTGAAAAACGTTGATGAAAGGCATAAAAGACGTATTTTTTCAGTTTCCACTGACTCTCAAGCTAAGGAAATAACTCAGCTTTGGCGGCCATTTTCTCGCTCATTTTACCTCCTTCAATCGCCAATATCTTGACTTGTATCCAAGATAATATTATTTTCATCAAAAGCAAGGCAAATGAATAAGCTTTAAGATGATACCAATAACCCCTTATATGCCCAATAATTGACGAGCACCTGATTCCACTGTGTTGTGACACCTATTCCGACATTGACGAAAGGCACAAAAAATGTAAATTTGACATTTCTAGAGACTCTCTAGCATGGAAATTTTCAAATTTTTGCGGCTATTTTCTTGCTTGTTTTACCTCTGAAACCAGGTGGCACCTCCTTTAATCGCAAATATTTCGACTTCTATTCCAGATAGATGAGTATTTTTTATCATCTGAAGCAAGACAAATGAATTTAATAAGCTTTAAGATGATATCAATAACTCTAGATGCCCAAATATAGACGAGTCATAATTGATTATACTGCATCTTGACACGAATAGTACCAATAAAATGACACCTCTAGAATTGTGCTTTGTAAAAGCCTCCAGATCTATACAAAAGACTGATCTTATCTCCAAGTGGGTAAACACACAAAGCTGTGGTCCTGCTTTTGATTAAAAATTTAAAAAGCGTTATATCCATCACTAAATTGAACATTAAATCGAAACAAGCGGACCTATTTTGATAGTTCTTCTTCTAATGACAGAACTCGCGGTAAAATAGACCTGTTGCTGAAAACTAATTTTATGTCGAAACTGTCATATAAAGGAATGAATGTGCTCGAGACGCAAGCCACTCCCAGGAGATAAGGAGTTTAAACCAGTTTTGAAAAAATCTCGGGATCGCTATAAAGATTCATTGATTGTAATTAACATTTTGTCTTACAGTACAGTCAATACATTACAGTTTTAATTCTGCCTGCACATGAAAGACATCAGAACACAAGAGGTTTTTTGTGAAATCTATGCAAAGATAATGTTGATGTGTGAAAACACAGACATGAAATTGAAATTGACAGCAGAATGCAGGTATGGGATGATGTCACAGCAGATGTATAATAATTTCCAGTTTCCAACATTTCATTCAGATTTGGAGAATTTGGATGTGATTCCGATTCGACTTGATCCTCTATCACATTTTGAACAGGATAACCGTTGTTTTGTGAAGTTCTAGATCTAGATTAGAAGATCTATAGATATATTCCTATTGTCATTTTGCACTCAAGGGAAAATGCTATGAATTCCCCCCACCGTAACCGTGTTTCCCCATAGTTTGATGCTTTGTGCAGTTACGATTGAGATGCTCTTGAAAACTTGATTTACACAGAACAATGGATCACTGGAAATGTGGTAGTCGAATCTTAACTCAATACCCATCTTCTATCATGAATAAAACTTTGGAAAATAGAATGCACAACAGAGCCTCTCTGAAGTAAGAGTTTTGGTTAGAACTTCTTCATGAAGGCGAATAATTTAAGTTGTTGCCTTTCTTCAGTTCAGTCAAACCTTCCTAGCCTAATGAAATGTCTAAACAAATTATCAGTTATATATAGCACAATATTGATGAGACATGAGACTGGGAAAACCATCATCACCCTCACCCCTTTTCCCAACCATTTACAAAAAATAGGTCTACTGAATTGTAAATATACATTTTTAGTGTGCAGTACTTAAAGTATTTGTATTTGAGACGAAACCAGGTGCCTTAATGACAGTGCATGTATTTTAAACCTCCTGTTTTCTAATGTTAATAGGGCCTAAGATAAGTACGGCTAGACTGGCAGTCTAGCTGTACTGGCAGTCTAGCCGTACTTCAGTACGCCTAGACTTCTTGAAATTTTTAGTTTGCAATGCCTAAAGTATTTGTATTTCAGACAAAACCAAAAGGTGCCTTACTGACTTGCATGTATTTGAACCTGAATAATTACTAGATCTAGATCTAATGAGACCTGTGTACTTAACAGGCTTGAGTCGATAGGGCCAAACCTAGATCTAAGTACGGCTAGCCACTTCGAATTAAAAAACGAACTCACCAGTCCAGTGTAGATGATGTGTAGGCCTACACTTGTCTTGTTATTTAAATAGCTGTAAATTATTATAGTAAAATAAACGAGAATCTAGATCTAGATCTTATCTAGATTCTAGATATATAGACAAGAGAGCCTCTAGCCTGCTGATCATTTCAATCCGACATGCATGAGTCAGTCTATGAACTGACTATATGATCAAAAATAGGCAAAAATAACAAGGTACCTCCACGTCCCCACAGCTCAAAGATATATTTTCGGATGTCTTTGTCATCTCTTCTTCCAATCTCGAAAAGCTAGAGATAAAGATCCTTACACATTATCTAGATCTAGTCCCGTGCCATAAAATAACATTATAACAGCGCAGCAACCCTCATATCGGGCCACGGATGTAAACATTAGCAACAGGTGCCCAGATTGATTTGTTTACCTTTTTGTATTCCCAGATTTGTAGAGAAAGAAAATTTAATTTAAAAAAGGAAAATCGATTCAAGCATCAACAACAAAACAAATACAAATTAATCACCCATAAAACAATCTTCTATGGTCCCTCATCAAAATTCAGTTTCCTCATGAAATAGGGCATCTAGCACATAAGAAGCCCTGGCCATAAGACTACACTTATTAGGCTTAGCTTTAAAAGCAAAACAAACCTTTAGTCGTTAGTTTTTTCTCAAAGCACCACAGACAGATCTGATCGTCACCTGCGATGTCATAATTCGTAGATCTATTAATAATCTAGATGTATATTGCATATTGTTTATAAAATATGATGTAAAACACTATCCCGGATTTGTGCAGATCTTGAAACTGTAAATAAGCTACGAACAGTGTTCATAACAGAAACTTTTATACGTTTCAACATACTAAGGGAGCCAACAATGACAAATATCGACTTCTAGAAAAATAATACCTGCATTACATCCCTTGATATATTTCTCTCTTCCATCCTCTCTCTCTCTCTCTCTCTCTCTCTCTCTCT